TAAAAACCTGTGCCCCCCCCCCCAGGGCCCGCGGGTTCCCCCAAGGAGGCGATTAAACCTTTTGTGTGTGAACAGCAGCCGCCTCCGGCCCCTCTGTGCCAGGGTTGGGACAAGGTGGTGGTGGGGAGCTCAACCTCATACGAGACACCCGAGAATCTCCACTTCCCTCCCCGCACTAGGTGGCAGGGAAGCCGAGGCCTTGCCATGCAAATGATCTCATTAGCATGAGGCARTTGGCTGCTCATGGGGGTAATGCTTTTTAATTAACCCCTGGCGGTAATGRGTGGTGATGAAGGCGGGACTAGGCTTCAATGTGGGGTGGGTGTCTCCCATCCAGGTCCCTTCCAGGGCARACCCTGCTTAGCTTCCCAGAACCGCCCCCAAGACATGTGGGTGGGAGCAAGGGTATCCAACCGGAGATGGTTGCCAGGAGATGGTTGCCAGGAGAGGGTTGCCAGGATACAGGGGTGAGGCTGTTGCCAGGGCCGGTTACCAGGATACAGGCAGGCCACGGTTGCCAGGATACAGTCTGGGATGGGGGTTGCCTGGGGCTGGCTGGACGCTGAGTGTGGCCCCCCCCCCGTCCCCCGAATACCAGAGCAGGGGGCGTGGCTTGCAGATCATTAATATACAAAGAGGGGGCGTGGTCTCCCCAGGGCTGGGAAGGGCCCAGCTGGGTCCTGGCAACTCAGCACAAGGGTGGGAGGACCCGGACACCTGGGTCCTTTCCCAGGGGAAGGGACTCGGAGGCCAGGGGTGGGGGGAAGGGCCCGGACACCTGGGCCCTTTCCCGGGACGAGGAGCGAGTTGAAGGTCACAGTGAAACGGGGAGGTTGAGGGGGGCACCAGGACACCTGGGCCCTTCCCAGGTAGAAGGTGTCTAGAGCTGCCTGGGGGGAGGGGGTCCCTTCCTGGCGTCTGGGGGGAAGGTTGCAGAGCCTGGGGCACCCGGACACCGGGGCCCTTTCTTGAGGAGGGAGGGAGGAGCTGCAGGCCCCATGGCGGCCCCCCAAGTCTGGACGCTCTCCTTGGAGGAGGAGGAGACACCCAAGCACCTGCTTGGGGGGTGGGGGCGACCTCAGAGCCCTGCCCCCCCCCCAGCGGGGTCTGCCAGCCGCCGGCCTTCCCATGGCCTTGGGGCCGGCTATATCCGTGGGGCGGGCGAGCGGGGCCGGGCCGGGCGACGATGGCGACGCTGGTGCTGGCGCTGCTGGCGGCGGCGGTGGCGGTGGCCGGGGCGCAGTGCCCGGCGCCGGGAGACCTGCGCACCGTCAACGGCTCCCGCATCTGCGCCTACCTCTACTCCGACAACAGCGCCTACTACAAGGAGTGCTGCGCCGGCAACGTGCTCRTGGTGAGCCCCGGCACCGACGTGCCCTACATGCCTAGCGGCTGGGCCGCCAAGGTCTCCTCGCTGGTGGTGGGCACCCGCTGCGAGCTCACCGTGTGGGACAGGAGCAGCAAGAAGGGCCACAGCCGTCGCTTCAGCGCCGGCGCCGTGCCCCGGCTGCAGGAGGTGCGGCGTGGCCTGCTCAACAACTGGAACAACGCCATCAGGGGCTATTACTGCAAGTGCAGCTGAGGCGGGGGGACGTGGGGGCAGCACGGGGCGGTGGGGGTCAATGGGAGCCAATGGGAGTCAACACAGGTCAA